TGTCTTCGAGCACTCGTAACCAATTAAGCAAATTGGTGTGTGTTTGCGTACAATGCACCGAGTACGATCGATGTAATCGCAACTGTTTTATGTATATATTATACATTGCCTCGTCCGAGTGTTACCATTCCGTTTTCAGCGATAATTTTAAATTTAACATTCTCAAGTAAATGCTCTGCGTAATTATAAATAGCATTGACAGTATACGACTTTATATTTGTTCTATATAAAACTCGCTATTGATTTTTCTTTTATCGATCGCTCTTGCGTCACACACCATTACAATTGCTTGTTTCATCATGCTTTTATTTAACATTCATGGAACATTCGATTGCAATGAAGCATCGATCATTAAAGTATCACGACTTGCAATACGAGCTCCAGCAAACGGACCACGTTGCAAATATGATTATCATTGCGGCGATTCCGTGAAAGCAATTCTATTCCCGACTTTTATATTAAACACTAATTTAATTTAATTTTTATAAAAATTTAGCTAATTGTAGTTTTGTACGTAATATATTATTAATATATGTATATATTAATCTTCTCTGTCATTTTGTTATTCTTAAATATCTGTAAGTTGTAAATCAAATTGATGATAATACAAAGTTTATTTGTTCAAGATTGCAAAGAAAAAGAATCAAATAATTGTCAATATGAATGATTAATATACATATGATGAATCCATTACAATCTAAAATATTTATTCAGGATAATTATCAGCTCGAGATTTATTGTTTATTAAAATATTTAGTGATAAATTTTAATTAATAAGAATTGTTCATATTGTTGTCAACAGTTTAGATAAAAAAATGGCTCCGAATATAACCAGCACACCGACGGGAGTACTCTTCGAGGGCGAGACTATAACTGAGACGCAACTGATAAAGGAACCGAAAGAAAAACCCAAATACGTCAGGCGTATTGTTTGGAGGAATGTGACAATTTTCTCGTTTTTACATCTCGGCGCTCTTTTCGGAGTTTATCTCTCGTTTACATCCGCCAAATTAGCGACCGTTGTTTTCGGTAAGTAGCATGTTACCATTAACATACTCTTAAAATCAATTTTCTTAATTGCTCGTTTTTTTGCCATCCGAACACCTACCTATTGTTAAAACTAAAGAGTAGCCAGTGCATGAATGCGGTAAATAATTACTGTCCTTTTCTTATTCTTGTGATAACAAAATTCTAAAAAATATTCTTTTTCCAAATTATTCGAGTGTAACACTAGCAATGTTTTTGAATTATTATTCGTTGTTGTAATTTGTTTAACTTTGCACTGAAGCAAAACTTTTTAACACGAACGATTAGCGGGATGTCAATCAGGTCTACTAAAATATTACATTCGACGAACCTGCGAGTCTTTTAAACGACGCAAGATCAATACACGTGTTAACGTAATAGTTTTTTTATTATTTTATTAAAGCTGAAGCTCTTTTGATTTTCTTCCCTGACATTATACAATTTAATTTTCATAATTGGAATGTAAGAAATCTGATCAAAAACGTAATACTTTAATTACAAGGTTTATGCTAATTATATTATATGAATATAATTTACAATTTCAGTGGAATATGATACATAATTTTTAATTTTGCTTTATAGTTATTGAATTTAAAACATATATAATTTTTATTCAAAATAAAATTATGTATTATTTTGCGTAAAGAAAAAAGTAATATAATATGTTGCAAAAGTTGAAATGTTTAAAATTACGCGATTCATGTTTGCAAAATTTAAAAAAATAATTTCTTGCATAATTTTCCAATGTGATTGTAAATAAAAGATGAGTGAAAGGTTATTGAAAGGTTATTCACAAGGTAATTTCATAAATAAAATATTTGATCAGCATTGTCGAACTTGTTTTTCATATAAAGGCATAGCTTGTTTTAAGACAGTCGTGATCGTTATCAAATAAGACGGCACTATTGCAATAGTTTCGAATTCCTTTGTGTGTAACATCATGCATTTTCTCCATTATAGCAATCTTGTTATATCAATGCAGCGGCTTCGGAATCACAGCCGGAGCTCATAGATTATGGGCACACAGATCTTACAAAGCCAAGTGGCCTCTCCAGCTGCTGCTTATGATTTTTAATACTATAGCGTTCCAGGTACGTAAGAAAACAGATTTTTTATAAATTTCGAGAAATTTGACGAATAAAAGTATTCGTAAAAATAAAGCTTATAAAGCTTATTTTTTCTTAATAAATTGAAAGGCCAGAAACATGCACGAAGTTAACTAGATATTAAATAAACGATCAATAATATAGTAATTAGTTGAAAAAGAAAAAGGAAAATTGGGATTAAATTAAATAATTATAGAGTCTACTTTTTTCTACGGCTAATGCGACTTAAAAAATTCATGTCAGTGCAATGATGTCGCGTATAAAACGCACGTCGCGTGTAAGAAAACTACTGCTTATGATTCAATACGTCATTAGACGTTGTCTAACAAGCAATCCGTTGTTTAGAAAAAAACATTCTTTTCCGTAAATTCGAGAATGCATGCGATACGTATTATCCGCTATAGATAGATCATTGATAGATATGAGTAAGCATTCTCAGCATTTTTAATGCAAGAATTTAATGCGAGAAAAATATTCAAAAAGATATGTAAATAAAAAAAGTAATATAGACTGCAATTATGTGACAAAAACACATTATTTTTGCTAATGAAACAAATTAAGGTATTTTATTTGTATCGATTAATATGTAATTATTTTGTGGGATCTAGGATGCCGCGATCGTTTGGGCTAGAGACCACAGAGTTCACCACAAATACAGCGAGACCGACGCCGATCCGCATAATGCTACGAGAGGTTTCTTTTTCTCGCACGTAGGCTGGTTGCTTGTTAAGAAGCATCCTGAGGTGACGGAAAAAGGCAAGGGAATCGATTTGAGCGACCTCGAGAGCGACCCTATACTGGCATTCCAAAAGAAGTACGTGCGTCGCGATTTAGCCAAAAAAGTAATTCTTTTTGTCGGCAAATAAATTTAGTAAAATAAATTCTATGTGTTTCAGATATTATGTCGTGCTAATGCCATTCTTATGTTTCGTTTTGCCTACTGTCATTCCAGTCGTGTGTTGGAATGAGACGTGGTTGAACGCTTATTTTATTCCCACCGTTTTGCGTTACATTTTCACGTTGAATATGACGTGGCTGGTAAACTCCGCAGCCCATATGTTCGGCAACAAGCCTTACGATAAGTAAGTATCAATAAAATACCTCAGTGCTTACAATCAGCTTTTAAATTAAATTTTGGATTTTTTATATATTTTTCTTTTTTAACACGGAAAGAATTTTTTTATCCGCTCCTTAAATTTGTTCTTTATTTATACTTGTCACTTGTACAATACTTATTTCCGTAATGGCACGATCGACATTCTATTAAAGTTTCTTTTTCATTCGCTACAGATACATCAATCCGTCAGAGAACAAAGGTGTTGCGATATTCGCCCTCGGCGAGGGTTGGCACAATTACCACCATGTTTTCCCATGGGATTACAAGACGGCCGAGTTCGGCAATTATAGTTTCAACTTTACGACGGCCTTTATCGACTTCTTCGCGAGGATCGGTTGGGCCTATGACCTGAAGAGCGTGTCCGAGGACATGGTAAAAAAACGCGTGGAAAGAACGGGCGACGGTAGTCACGAGGTGTGGGGCTGGGGCGATAAGGATCAGACGCAGGAAGAGAGAGATCAGGCGGTAGTGACGCACAATCATACAAAAGATCAGTAAGGTCGCGTGAGAGATTCGCGACTAGGATGTAAAGCTTCTCTCTCCAAATTTATCCACAGTTAATCCGTTCCATAAAAATTCCATAAAGGATTTCATGCAGTGATTCGATCGAGCCGGTCTTTCGGGACTTGCGTCTCGACCGTCGCGTCTCTCGACATGTTATCGCACGATTATATGACGGGTTTCATATAATATCCTCAGAAGACTCGGTATCGAGCAGGAAGTATCTCGATTTCTCATAATGTCGGTGGTGTTCTGGATCGCGGATGCCGTACTAACTCGGTAAAATCTTTTTCATCTACTCTCGAGATAAATCAAACTGCATTTATAATTATTCGTAATATGTACTGCTATTACATAATTGTTGAACCGTTTTTATTCAGGGGGTTATACAGGTTTTTAATATGTGATCGTAATCAAGAATACATACATTTATATATATGTACTATTGAGATACGAATCAAATATATTTTGTACTGTTGCCAATGAAATAACACATAAATTTACTGTAATACTGCGTGAAAATGAGAAATGCAGAAATATAAATTTATTTTAAGGTATATACAGTAATATAAAATAATATCAGGATACACGCGTATCGAAATTGCGCGAGAATCCGATATTTAATATAAATATAAATTATTTCTACTAATATACGACCAAATTGTTGCTCAATTTTAATATTACCTGTTAGATAACCAAATTTTCTACGTTAGAAGTTCTCGATCAAAATAAATAATTCGATCTTTAATATGCAAATCTAATTAATTTTTATATGATACCGCTTTATCAATCAAAACTGACTTCGGATAGTATCATATCGTCCAGAACATCAGCGAAACTTTTGATCAGCGAGTACAAAAATTGTGTGTGTTGTTTACTTCTTTTTTTTTCTTTATTTATAGAATACATATTATGAGTGACCAAAATTCTTTCTCAGTGCGATAAAATATTATTTGCTTTATCATATTAATATTGAATGCATTGTGCGTTCTTTTTCCATTTCCTATTAAAACTTAGCACGCTTAGGTTAATTTGTAGATACTGATAGATTCAGGTAATTTATTTATATAATAAATAAATCTTGTTTGTGTTGGTAGGAAAAAAAGAAATTTATAACAAACATTTACGTAATAGTAATAAGGATTGCGTTAACTAAAGCTAGCGTAATCAATTATGATATAGTCGCGACGTAATGACACATATTTATACTAACTTGTTGTTCCTTTTCTTTCAGTTAATATAACGTAAGATTCTAAATGTAATTGCTGCGGCGTTATCAATTTGTGATGTAAAAGTACGAGAAAACAAGCAATTGTGATTATTAACGAAACTTGCTTTTCACTTCCTTACGCATAAGCTAAGGAATATGATTCTGATGATGATGATTCTATGAAAGAAATATAAGAAAATTTCTTTAGCATTTTTCATAGTCTATTATGTGTTTTTGCCTTAGAAACGTGCATTGAATTGATTTATATAAAATGAGCCTTCCTTATTTTTATTTTGCCATAATTTTGTAAAAATAACACGCTTGTCAACGAAGTTGTATATTACGTTACTAACACCGTACATTTTTACTTGCTTTAAATTTATTTTTTGATGACGCCTGACAATCGCTCTTAGTGTATTTGTCTTCAAACTGATATTATAACAGATATATAAGTTGTAATATATTTATTATTATATTAATAATTAAAATAAAATGCTTAATAAAAATATATTTTTAAGTAAAGATGCATTATATATCTTGTGCATTTTTATTCAGTGCCTGTATCATCTCAGTAAAAACTAATCAACAATAACATAACATCAATATTATAATTTCCTACTCAATAATATAATTGTTATGTACAAGGCATGTTAGATTACAATAACGTTGTTAAGTGAGAAATTATAATATTGATGTTGTTTTTGGTTAGTATTTGCTGGGATATCTTAATTTAATTGTCAAAATGTCCAAATCAACAATATTATTTAAATAACATATGTAAAGATTATAACACACAATTATTTGGTATTCCAGTTTAACGATGAATTATGTGATATTGGTTAAAAATTCTATATTGTCTAATATATGTGCTATTCTCAGTATGGTTAATTTATTTCACAAATAATATGTAAAATAATTACTTATAATGCAAGAAATTCATAGAATTCGTATTGTCCTATAATTGCTTAAAAAAAGCAATAATTATAAAACGATGTCGATTAATATCAATATTGATATTCTGCCTAATTATATAAGTATAGCAAATAAATTCACTTACCGATTGTTGTATTCTAACTAAGTACGCCTTCAGCTGTACCTGAAAAAATTAATACAGGGTGTTCGACAATTGCTGAATAATCTCTCGGGTGTAGATAGAGCGGGTTAAATCAAGTAAAAAAATCCTCTACCGTTTTGCGATTTTCGCAATAATTAATGAAAAATTAATTAAAGAAGATCGGTCAATTTCCGCGAGTCTAAGCGCGCAGCGAGAAGAGAGAGCCCACTGTTACGTAATCGCTAGGACGCAAGGATCTAGCGTTCAGCATCGCTCGTATGTTGCCGTTGTCAATTGTAGAGCGCTCCTCCCAATGCTTCATCGCGTGCCTAGTAACCAAACAGTAGATTGTACCGCCACGGGTTTCTTCTCTTAAATAGATGTATTTAATGATATTATTACGTGTAATTTAATACTATTATTATGTATAATTATATATACTTATATTATACGTAATAATAATATTAAATACTTTACACTATTTAATTAATGATATATATTAATATTTTTACATTATAACAAAAGTTTTTAATATTACAGTATAAAAAAATTGTAATTTAAACATAATTTTGTAATTATTTCAGATTACCCAGCAAACACAATATATAGCTACTATATAACATAGAAATAACATGTAACAGATATTACATATAACAAATGTTACACTTTATTTATATTGTGATTATATAATATTTTTTATACATATAATGTAATTGTGTTATAGAATTGTTATTTTGCTTTGTTGCTTACTGGTTATAATAAAGTAAATGGCAATATAACTTGAATGTAACATGTTATATAACAAGTGCTTCGTAAATATTATTTTGATGTTATATATTTATTTATTTGTAATAAACTGAGTGTCGGGAGGAAACAGCGCGAGTTAGCATCAGAAAACAACTGCATACGCATCTTGTTACGTGTGCGCGCAGCGGCTACTACGTCGATGATTGGTAGCGAGTGACACTCGCGCAGACGTATGTGTAACACACAGCCATATTATGTCTTGATTGGTTCAGGAGCATGCTGGGAAGCGAGATCATATCAGCACGGGCAGGCATGTTGCAACGTTGAAGCACGCAGGAGAGACAGTTGCCGAATCGTATCGTAAGTTCTTTTCCCCGGTCTGATCATTATAAATTACGATTATGCAACGTCTCGTCCGGATGGATACATGTAGTAGCGTTCCGCTGCACTATCCTCAACAGGATCTTTAAAAGATTATAAAATTCAAAAATGACGCGTACCTTTGCGCGTGCCTACCAACGCCGCGGGTGCTCATTGTTTTCCTGTTGTGCGATTCCTCAATAGGTCTTGTGATATTTTTCGGTCATATATAGTGTTAGTTCTTTCAGCAATGGGTAAATCAGCTCATAAATCTAGGAAAAGAAGAAGATCACCTTCCCCAGATCGTCTCGCAGGCCTTGAGGACAAGATGTCCCGCCTAATTGATATATTAACACAAGGTGAGGTTATGGCGCCCAGTTGCCCCGTTCTGTCTTCATCTTCGGCCGCTTCCCCGGTGCCTCAGGAGGAACAGGAAGACCGTATCTAGACAGAATCTCACTCAGTGAGTTACCCCGTGGTATCCCTTGCGAGTCAAACGGGACCAACGGACCCACAAGGTGTGTAGGTTATTGCTGATCTGTATTTGCAAAATACAGGCGGCATTTTTACACAACCTCTTTACTCGAAGTATCTACCTTTTTGTTTACAGTGGTAAGTGATACTCTAGGTGAGGATGACACATCCCTTAGTCCACCTAAACGAGTCTTGCTAGAGGATAACTCTCTGCCTATAACCTCTGCTGCGGAGAATGACTCAGAATCTCTGGCTAGGCAATTGTTCGGTTCCGATCTAGAGGTGGAGGAATCCTTGCCTTGGAACGAACTAGTATTGCAGAGATGGCAGGAATTGTCACGTAAAGGGCTTCCTGCGGATCAACGCGAATCCTTGTTAAAGAAATACTCTCCCAACGAGTCGGTAGCTTTTCTTAAAGCTCCTATCCTGAACCAGGAATGCAAGGTGGCTTTAAAAAACAACTCCATGGTTAAAAGGGATGAATACGTGTGGAAGAATCAAAATTAGGAGGGCATAGCGTTGTGCGCCCTAGGCGTGGCTATTTCAGAACTCCTCGGGCCAGTTATTCAGAACTCACTAACCGTTGAAGCCCGCCTTGTTATAACAAAAGTTAACGAGGGAGCTAAGATTTTAGCAGACTTATTCTATCAACTCTCTCAATCTAGAAGGGCGCAGATTTTACGCCTGCCCTTAACATAATTGCCAAAAACACGGCTGAAACAATCCCGGCCGATGATCTCCTGTTTGGCTCATCCTTTGGAAAGCAAATGAAGAAAGCGGCCTCCATGGAAAAATCTTCTAAGGAAATTGTTAAGACCCACTGACAATATCCAGGAGAGTACAACAGCCAGTCAAGCAGCCTACTCAGATCATTCCCGCTAGATCGGGAAACGCCCGTGCCCCCTGTGAAATATTGGAGATCGGCGACAAGGAGGACAGGGGTAACGAACAACAGCCGCTGATCGTCTCATCGTTCCAGATCACAACCAAAGAGACGCTAGGACGCGAGGAGGTATTTATCGCGGGTAGACTTTCGAGTTTCCTTCCCAAATGGAAGGAAATTACAAAAGATCCAATTATCCTCCAAACCATCACTGGCTATAGGCTGCCGTTCGTACAACAACCGCCTTCTCAGAACGAACGAAACTCCTAATCATTTATCTAGTTTTGAGAGACAGATTTGCGCTCAGGAAATTACTAGACTCCTTCAGAGAGGTGCAATCGAGGAGGCAGAGACTTGCAAAAATCAATTCTTGTCCTTTTTCTTCATTATTAAAAAACCATCGGGAGGATGGAGGTTTATCCTCAATCTTAAACGCCTCAATCGATTTATCATTGCACCACACTTCAAACTCGAGGACTGGAAGACCGTTATTCGCCTTAATCGCTCTCCAAACGATTTCCTAGCCTCAATCGATTTGGAAGAGGCGTATTTCTTCATTCCCATCCATCAGGATGATAGAAGATTTTTACGATTCAGATTTCAGGACCAACTTTATCAATTCAGGGCTCTACCCTTTGGACTAGCATCAGCCCCTTACATTTTCACCAGAATTTTGAAACCGATTGTATCCTCCCTCAGGAAAAAAGGTTTTTTTTCGGTAATTTATCTCGATGATTTTCTCCTTATCGCACCCACACACAATCAGTGTGTAAAGAATGTCGCCGCTACAACGAGCCTTTTGTCATCATTAGCTTTATTATTAATACGCGTAAAAGTGTCCTTAATTCTACAAAGTTTTGTCGTTTTTTAGGATTCAACTTTGACACTGAGCGCTTTGCGATCGCTATTCCATCAGAGAAAAGGAAAGATCTTCTACAAGCTACTCTTACCATGCTTAATAGAATTCGCTACAAGATTCGCCTTTTTGCAAGTTACATCGGCTCTCTAATTTCTATCTGTCCGGCTGTTCAATATGGTATGCTTCATACCAAGATACTGGAAAGAATTAAGTTTTTAGCATTAACTGCCGCGAACGATAATTTTGAAGCTCAGATGTCGCTTCTGACTTCTATTAGAGAAGATCTTTTATGGTGGAAGGCTGTATTCACGGACGGGACACAATGTAATCATATTAGATCGGATCTTTTTGACCTTGAAATTTTCTCTGATGCTTCCCTAACAGGATGGGGAGCCGCATGCAGAGGTGCCCAGACTCATGGCTTTTGGTCACCAGAAAATAAACAGCATCACATTAACTATTTGGAGCTCTTGGCTGTTTTCCATGCCCTGAGATGTTTCGCATCTCACCTTCAAGATTCAAATATCTTCTTAAGAGTAGATAATTCCACAGCTCTCTCGTATATTAACCGCATGGGTTTGATTAAATTCCCTAATTTATCCAATCTTTCTCGTAAAATTTGACAGTGGTGCGCGGATCGTAACATGTTTATTTACGCCTCTTACATCCTTTCGGCCCAGAACTACGAGGCAGATGCTGAATCTCGCGTCGTATCGGAGGAAACAAAATGGTCTCTTGCGCAACATTATTTTGAAAAAATTAATTCACGTTTTGGTCCCTTTGAGTTTGATCTGTTTGCCACATCGATTAATACTAAATGTCATCGATTCGTCTCCTGGCATCCGGACCCGCTAGCATACGCGGTTGATGCTTTCTCGCTCGATTGGAGTAATTTCTACTTTTACGCGTTTCCTCTATTCATTTTAATTTTGAAAGTTTTACGAAAAATCATCAATGACAGGGCAGAAGGAGTGGTTGTTGTCCCCTGGTGGCCGGCCCAGCCGTGATTTCCTCTTTTGAATCAACTTATAATCGAGCAGCCTATCTGTTTTAAACCAGATAGTAACATGCTGTCATCCCCTTTCAGACGGATACATCCAGCTTGGAACAGAATTTCCCTGGCAGCCGCGAAACTATCAGGCAGGCTTTTTTACTGAGGGGAACACCATCCGCAGCCCTGACAACAATACTTGCTTCTATTTCAGACGCCACAAAAGCGCAATACACTAAGCCGCTCAAGCTGTGGTAGTACTTTTGTAAACAAAATAGCCCTAACTGCTTCTCTCCGTCGCCCTCTCTAGTATTAGAATTTTTATCTTTCTCGCTCTCTAAAGTAGGCTCTTATGCTACTCTAAACTCCTACTGCTCGGCTATATCTCTTATCTTCTCTAACAAAATCGGTTCTCATCCGCTAATTAGGAGATTCCTTAAGGGCGTCGCGACTCTAAAGCCTCAACGTCACCGCTACAATTATATCTGGGACCCATCGCCGGTTATCAAACATTTGGCTACTATGTATCCACATGCGAGTCTCTCGCTGGAATTATTATTAAGAAAATTAGCCACTCTCCTCGCCCTTACTACTGCCCAAAGAATGCAGACCCTTGCAGCTATCCAGCTTACCAATATTAGTATAGCGGATTCGTTGGTTATAAAAATTCCCGCTAGACTTAAGACTTCCGGGATGGGTAAACCCCAACCCTTGCTCTCATTCACCCCCTTTTTGGAGAAACCCGAACTATGCGTTGTTTCCTTAATTAAATTTTACATCAAGGTTACCCGCGATCTCCGTCAAGAGAGTTATGACTCTCTTTTTATATCTGTCCGCGCCCCATACAATCCAGTGACTTCCCAAACTCTGAGTCGGTGGGTCAAAACAGAGTTGAACGCTGCAGGAGTTGACACAGGCATTTTCTTGACACACTCGATTCGTCATGCGTCAACATCCCTTGCAGCAGTTAAGGGCATTAGCTTAAATGAGATTAGGCGTACAGCGGGTTGGACTAAAACCTCGGACGTTTTTGCAAGATTTTATAATCGGCCTATTATTAAAGACTCGTCGCTTCATACTGCGATTCTTACCAGTGCTTAAGTTTATTATTAATTATTTATTTACCAGGCCTATATACAGGAACATCCGAACTTGTCACGGGTTCCTTCTTTTTATTTCAATTTAGACTATCACATCTATATAAACTGTTATGTTCTACATTTTTCATTCTTATAAGCTTATTTATGGAATATGTTTATTTATTTTTGCATTCAGCATTGATAAGCCTATTTATAAAATACTCTTAAATTCTTATATTCTACGTCCAAATGTGTTTTATTTTCTGTATCTCTTGTAGTTACAAGAGTCTGACGTATTAAAATGTTCTATATCTCAGACTAACTAAAGTTCGACATTAATTGCATACAAATCTGAATGTTAAACATCTACATGTATCCATCCGGACGAGACGTTGCATAATTGAATAATCAAACGAATTTACCGTGAAGTTCGATTACAATTATGCTGTCTCGTCCGGATGGATAAATGTAGTAGCGTTCCGCTGCGCTATCCTCAACGGGCCTCACGTAAGTTTGTGTAATTAATCAATTTTTGCGTTGATAATGAAATGCATTGGTACGACGATCTCTGTACAATGACTTTTTAATTTAAAATATAATAATGCAAAAATACATATCTATTGTTTTATGAAGCTTTATTCACATTATTTATACACTTTTTGTATCACATAAAATTTACTTACAATTAATATTATAATATTTGCGTCGACGTACAATAGGGCGGGTCCCGTTAGCGCACGGTGCGATAGCACACATCCCGATAGCACATATAAAATTTAACGTAATTCCCGATAGCCCATATCCCTTTAGCACACAGAGTAAATTGCGTATTATCCCGATAGCGCACAAGATAAAACGCGCATCTGGGAGGATTCCGTTAGCGCACGGTGCGATAGCCCACATCCCGATAGCGCACAAGGTAAAACGCGCTAGCGACAAAACTCGAAATAGTATGCATTTTATTATTTTATTTAATGAAGATTTGAAATATAGTCTAAAAGTAACGAATTTAGAGAAATTATTTCTATTGACTTTATAATTGTGTATGTGTTCATCTGATTTATTTTTTATTATAATATTATTGTCATAAAAAGTAATATTAGAATAAAAATATTATTATTAAACAATATATGTTAATTATTATAGAAAAATTATTGTTGTTTTTGTTTCAGTATAATATAATTTTTTTTATAAAAATCATAGAATAAATAAATAAATATCAGTATATTTATACTAAAAATAATAATCATGTGACTTTTTCCACTTACATCACAGGAGGATGATAAAGCTTGCAAGCTCACTATTAATATTGCAAAGAATTGCACCTAATTTGAGAAACAAATTATAATTTTAAATTTTGCATTCATGAAATTATATTAAAACTTATATAATTAACATTATAATCGATAGAAAAATTTTTAACATTATTATAAAATGTAAATTTGTGAAATAAAATATATGATGGATAGAAACGTGAAACATATATAAATTTATAAAATTTTATATAAAAAGTTATGTTGATTTAAACATAAACATAAACATAAACATTTGTAAGATATTTATGATCATTCAGATTAATCAGTAGTAATCGGTGTATATTATTGAATATTAAAGCTGTGTTATGCGAGACAAGGCTGTGTGTGCTCTATCAAAGCTTCAACAAATAATAAACGTTTTATCAAAAATTTTAAACCGATTTTTTTTAATAATTAAAAACATATTGATAACTTAAGACGAAGTCTTATTCAAATTTATAAATCTTGTATTAATTTGAGCGCAATCCACAAAGATGATAGCAAATTAATGTATAAAAAATATAAAAATTGTTCGATGGCTCGTTTTTTTTAAATCAAACGTTCAATCCACAATACATTATTTGCAATTGAATGTTCAATAATATTATATTACTACTTATATTTTATAGACATTAATTGCAATTTATTTTGTTTAAATTGCAATTTTGTTTTATTTGAAAGCTTTCAACATTTTACTTCGAAATGAAATACATTATAGTCTAGAATAATTGGTAATATGATTGATAGAATGAAGATTTAATATAAGAAATAATAATTTAACTTACCAATTGTATCCTTGTTACATATGGTTTAATAGGGAGGAGACTTTTTTGAAGTTTTGAGTTCCACGCAGTCAAAAAATAATAAATATACATAATTACATGCACGGAACAATTAATCAAGCTAATAAACGTTGCTCTTTCGTCTAACAAATATTTTAAAAAATACCAGCCGAAAATTACGTTTGACACGTGATGGTATACGTGCAAACCGGAAACCTGATTTTGTTTTTTCCTTAACACAAATATACAGGTTTCAAGATAATCGAAAAATTTCAATAATAGAATCCACCACACCAAATTGAAGAGCTAAAACGGATATTACCGCATATTTATGAAATGTTAAAATAATTAAAGAAATAAGTATTATTTCTTACATTTTGATTATTTTAAACAATATAAGCAGCAATTATACAATTTAAAATTATAAATTATAGAACGAGACTTATTATCTATTTAGCAATAATAATAATATTATAAATACATACTCTAATCGCACTAGGCGAAGTTGGATCTGATGGGATACATATAAAAATATATTTCGAAAACCAACCATTAGTTATGTGTTCTTTTACTATCCAAATGTTTGCCAATATTTGTATTATATTGTAGATTAATATGAAGGTTTTCAGCTTATATGGTGGCTTATTTTTCATATAGCGAGGACCGAAGCTAAGAACGAAATACAAGTAAGCAAGAGTTATAAGTGTAACTTCGAAAGGTGAACTTATAATCGGCCAATTGCGAGTTAGTGGCTCTGAAAAAAATAATATAACAATAATAATAAGCAATATTTAAAAAAAAATGCAAAATTGCAATACAAATTTTGTATATATACAGAGTGTCCCAGAATTCACGGACACGAAATGTACAGTGTGATTATTTGTGCCAGAAGAAGTAACTTTTTTCTCTAATAAAATTGTGTCTGAACATTACTTCTTAAATAAAAGCAACTTTAAGCTAACGAATGAGCGCTCTAGGTTACGCATAAATCAGGAGCGGCGCGCGTATCGCATGCGTGGCGAGGAGCGTGTACGCTATTTTACTATTTTGCTAAAGATTTTGTAAGAACTATGCATGATATCTAAATATCGCTATTTTGGATACTTACTTAAGATTAAATATTTTAATACATATGCTCAAAATGCATTTCTTTAATTTTTACACACATATTTGCTCTACGTATGAGATTTTCTTGTACACGTTGGACCATTTCGGGTGTGACGGTTACTATTGCACAATGAAGCTGTTATTATCTCGATACAAATTTTCAAAATTCTTGGATTGACGAAGGTGGTCCCGTCACATGGCCCGCAAGATCGCCTGATTTAAAGCCACTAGATTATTTCCTATAGGGTCATTTAAAAAGTTTTATTTACCGAAATCCTGTAGAAACGCTAAAAGATTTGGAAGAACAGCTCCATTATGCAATAGCAACCTAAAATGGTCCAACGTGCACAAGAAAATCTTATACGTTGAGCAAATATGTGTGTACAAATGAAAGGTATGCATTTTGAGCATATGCTTTTGTTAATGTAGGCTTGAGATGTTGATTTACATTAATATGCTTTATTAAGTAAGCTGTTGGAATACAAAAGGAACGTTCTTTTAATATATATAAAGAAGCGATATTTTTAATCGTTATAAACTATACATATACAAGGCAGGCCACATACGCAATGTGACACATGAAAATCACTAGATAATGCCAACCTTACTTTGAATATTTACTCTAACCATTGAGTAAAAAGAAACAGGAGGGAGCATATACTAGCCAGGACTAGGTAAATCCGCGGACGGATGTACGTCATGGCAGCCATCTTGAGCGACCACTTTTTGAAAGTGAGAGGGAATGCTCGAGCATAGCGGCAAGCGGCATACCGTACGCCGTACGCATTAATATGCAGTGTATAGTCTTTTATGCAACAGTGTATGGAAATAAACGATCAAAATGGTATACTGTAGAGCTTGTGGCATAACAGCAGCAGCTCGAAATCATGGAATAACGTTTCATCGGTTAGTATTATCAACAATAATGAGATTTTTATTTTGGAGATTATAATCATATGTATAGTATTGTGAAATTGTAGATTCACAATAATTACTAAATAATTTTCACTCACAAACAGGTTTCCGAAAAATCCGGATTAAAGAAATGCATGGATAAATTTTTGTAAGGACGAAGGATTTAATATAAATTTAGATTTTAGATTTTAACATTGCTCTTATGGAAATACTGCACGAGTGCAATCCCAATGAAAAACGCCATTAAAATTTGGTATTATTGTTGCATATTATAGTTATTTTCTTTTAATTGTACATTATTTCCTAATTAAACATAACAAGTCATTCAATATTGGCGCCCTTGAGCGGCCATCTTGAGCGACCACTTTATATAGTCACTTCCGTCCGCACTTTTACGACCAAACGCTCCCTCCTGTTTCTTTTTACTCAATGACTCTAACAGCTTTAAAACATTTAATCGGCCCTTTTCAGAGCAACAACACTTTTAGAACGTTAAAATAATAATCTTAAATCAAAATTATTCACGTGTTATCTAATCTGCTTATTTTACTTTCAGTTGTTGCTTCGGCATGCCGATATCAATTAGAAAGTGTTCCTCTTATTAAGTAAGTATTCAAAATAGCGATATTTAGATATCATGCATAGTTTTTACAAAATCTTTAGTAAAACCATGAAGAATAGAGAACAGGAGGCCGAACTTAATAGGCGATGGCGTTAGATTATGAGCTCAAAAGTGGTCATCTGAATTAGTTCAAATTAATCGAGATGTCGCTTGCGTTCCACGACACCGTCCTCACAGTCAACCTCACAGTAACCTCTCTATTCTTTACATCTTTCGTTCGTGTGTATGTATACGCAAGCGTATATGTATATGTGAGGAGTTTTGCGATTCGAACGCCGCCTATCGAGTACCACCAGTATTACTTTAGAAACCTGATTTTGGTCGCATTTCTAAAAGCCAGTTCGGCCTCCTGATCTCTATTCTTCATGAGTTATGGCCGGAGCACAGACTTTTGCATAAAGCATAACGCATAAGCATAAGGAAATTGATTGGTCCATTTCCTTATGCATTTGCTTATGCTTATATATAGACCAATTAATTTCCTTATGCTTATGCATTACGCATTATGTAAAAGCTTGTGCTCTCGGCTTAAAACAGTAAAATAGCGTACATGCTCACGCGCCACGCACGCCGTGCGCGCGCCGCTCTTGATTCATGCGTAACCTAGAGTGCTCATTCATTAACTTAAAGTTACTCTCATTTAAGAAGTAATGTTCGGACACAATTTTTACCAGAGGAAAAAGTTACTTCTTCTGGCACGGATAATCACACTGTACATTTTGTGTTTGCGAATTCTGAAACACCCTGTATATATAGCATTGTTTTTTCTCTGTTTCTTAAAATAACTATAAATAATTTTTTAATATAAAATTTAATACTTATAAATTACCCAGAAACAAAAGATAATCTTTTAGATG